CACAACCTGGACGAAGGAGGTCAGGCTACCGCTGGGGATTCACGTCGATGACACACCAATTCCGACGGTGAATAACCCCAAAATACTCGGAGTAACATTCGACAGCCTGCTCTCCTTCTCTGCGCACTCAACCGCTATTGTCAATAAAGTACAGAGCCGCAACAAGGTCCTCAAGTCGCTAGCCGGCAGTACTTGGGGCAAAGACAAAGAAACGTTGCTGGCAACATACAAGGCAATAGGCCGGCCGGTTTTGAACTACGCAGCGCCAGTGTGGTCGCCAGGGACTAGTAGGACGCAGTGGACGAAGCTACAGACTATACAGAACACCGCACTCAGAACAGCGACAGGATGCCTCCTGATGTCGCCTGAACACCACCTGCACGGCGAGGCGCAAATGCTCCCTGTAAAGGAGCACAATATAATGCTCAGCAAGCAGTTCCTGATAGGGAGCCACAGAAGTGGCCACCCAAGCAGACAGCTGCTTGCAGAGGAGCCCTCGCCTAGGCACGTCATGAGGCATCTATATGAACTGACGGACGAAGTCCAGAGGTTCATTAAGCAACCTCTGGACCCGTCAGCTTACAGGCAGGCCCTGAACGGCATTCACAGGGACGCAGTCTCGAGGTATGTAGACTCAAGACCTGTGAATGCCGTTCTAGGCACACAAACACCGGACATTGACGCGACGGAGCTCCATCTGCCTCAGGAGACCAGGACAACAATAGCCCAACTTCGCTCTGGCTACTGCAGCAGGCTAAATTCCTACCTGAGTAGGTTAAATGCGGATGTGCCGAACGAATGTCCGGCATGCAGAGACCCCTCACGACTCGAAACATCTCTTCGCATGCCCGGAAAACCCCCTATGGACCGACCCCATAGAGGCTGCACGCTTCTTGGGGCATGTTCATAAACAAGTAAAATCGTATGCAATTGTTGTTGGAAAATTGAACCCGTTAAATCATTTAACTCGTTTGAAAACCAGTTCAGCGCAGAGTTGTATCAGAAAGCTTTCTGCTCCGACCAATCAGAAAGACCCAAAAGCTTTCATTTGACACGCCAACGTTCAAAAAATTTATATTCTAAAAATATAAAAAATTAAAAATTATCAAAATTGTATGCATGCCTGCCCGCCAAAAAAGAGGCCAAGGCGGTAGTTAGTTTAGTTTGTTTAGTTAGAGCATGCAAACTAAACATTTTGACGTATCTAAATAATCCGTATGCATTAATATCATGAAGCAGACATTTGCATAAAACAAATTGAAACATAAAAACTTGATTTTGAATATTTTTTTTCGAATTTTTATTGGTAATCAAACAACCGTCAAAGTTAACTCCAAATGTTCAATGTGGACGATTGTGTTTTCCAAAAAGCTTCTTTTCATTTAACAAGATAAATGGGGCCAATTTGAACGTAATATTAGTATGCAACTTAGAACTACAATTATACACTTTTTGAGCATTAGCCCTCATTCCGAATGGTGCAACAGGATTAAGCAGTCAGATGACGAAGATTATGACTCATAATGAAACCGAGGGGTTGAGCACTACTGCTACAACAACAATAACTATTAAATAACAAGAAATTTATTTTTATATCATTGCAAAATCGTTATTTTTGTTTTATTTTTTAAAAAGTTATCGTTATTTTGGATTTTTATCGATTATTGTTGACCGTTGTTACAATGGAGACTGCGTTTTATGGCCGTTGTAAATGCTTTAATCATAAATTATAACAAAATTGATCGAAAAAATAAAAATCCAAATATACAGGCAGATTCTACAATTGACTTCTGAGTTAATTTGAACCACTTTCAAAGTGACTTTGGTTGACATTCACTCGAAAGTGAATTGCAGAATCTGCCTGATAACGATTATTCTTGAAAACAATTTTAAATTATATTATCATAAGGATGGAGCGTTTTCAATAAATCCGTTTTTATGGGAAAGGTGGCGCTTGACGGGTGGTCCCATCGTTATTTGGTTTAGTTCTGACGATTGGACCATGAATAAAATAACAGTCTTCCTAAATTTGTATATAGGCATAGAAGTCGGTTGTGTTTTTTTGGTTAAAAATTACTTGTTTTAGCTAGATGTATAATAGGGGCACCGTATATTCAATTATCATACAATATGTTAATAAATACATTTTAATGGGGTTTTATGTATGCATAACATACAAAATTTAAAGAAAGTATGGTAGGAAGGCAACATGCTTGAAAAATCATATATTTGGGAGTAGCAAAACTGCCCTACAACGTTGAGGTGACAATGGTTAAATGTTGAGCTTTTCGATTTACCCCTGCAGGTGTTGTTTAATCATCGCTTTCCGAGCCGCCAGATTCATTTGGGTCACTGTATGGTCTCTTTGGAAAAATACCTGGAATAAATTGCGCTTGTTGCTGACAGTCTTGAGTTAGACGCTTCTTCCGAGAATGCGTATTGTAGGTCTCTGCGAATCGTGTTTTACCAAATTCGTCAGAGTAAAATTGTCGCACGCTGCTTCGCATAGAATTTGATTGATTTTTGTTATTAATATTGCTAGTGAAATCCTTTGCTTTGTTGGCGTTCACAATTTCTTCATTTCCCAGGTTATCATCAGCACTGTCACTCTCTTCTTCGCTCATTTCTTCATATACTATATTTCTTCTTGGTTTGCATATTTCCCTTGGCAAATTTTTACAATTGTAGTAAGCTAAATTTCTGCTTTGACATTGCTTTAGAGTTTTTTCATCTTCCTGTTCACTCAGGTCAGTTTCATCAAGTTGGTGCCCTTGACTGAAACTTTCAAAGTTTGACATTTCTTCGTCACGTAGGTGAGAATCACCTTCAACAAAAGCAGCAAAACGCAACGGATCTCTGAGTTTGGATATAATCTAAAAACGGATTAATTTAATGATTGATGGAGATTTGTTTAGACAAATATACGTACCTTCCACTGATTGCAATCAGGACTACTTGCAAACGCTCGCAGTTCGTTTAATGCCTTTGAAGTTTCTATAACTCCTTGTTCATAAAATTCATCGTTGGTTAGCAAACGCCTTTTAGGTGGAAAGAACCGTCTGTATATCTTGAGAAGTTTGTGAAATATATAATACGGGAAATAATTTACTACGATAGTGAGAACCCCTATTGCGGCACTGGCTTCTTCATACTGGCTTGATATATAAATTAAAGCTAATGCCATTATTTGCAATATCCATTTTATTATATTTTTCGATCTCCGATTTTTAGGAGGTCCCACACGGTAACAGAAAAAAAATGACAGTAGCCCCGTTAAAAAGATATACCAAAGGACATATACGCGATACATTTGAAAAATTAAATGGAGGTTTTCCCAAAGTCGTTGAATAATATAAACACCAAGCGCCCAACCACCGATAAGCATTCCATAAACCATAGGGCGTCTAAAAATGAATAATATTTAAATTTTCAAAGACTACTTAAATAATTAAAATTACCGAGGCATTAACTTGCTAGATAGCCAAATCAGAAGCATAAACGATGAACATATGCCGAAAGCAATACCCGTAAAATAAAAGAATAATGAGTTATCGCTAAGTTTTCCGGCGAAAACAAAAATGCTGATACCCAACGCAAGTTCTAGAACACGAAAGTTGTCAACTCGAATTTGCAGTAGGCGAACGCGGTAAGGCAAAGTGGTGTCGATACCAATACATTGCTGCTTGAAAGGCGACAGCTGCAGACGAGCACGCTTCTGATTGAATAAATTGAAGTTAAACAATGACCGCCTTTCTTCAAAATGCTGGCGGACTTCCATAGGTGTTACACCTTCATATTGCGTATATTCATCGCCTTCGATCTCCAAATTGAGTTCAACATTTTCAAAAAAGCGAGTCAAATCCTTAAGAGACCCACGGTAACAATATATTCGCATATCATTTTCGAAAAATCCTCTGTGACGCGACTTTGGCTTATAGTCTACTATTGTTCCTGGATCCATAAATGTCACTAAAAAACGATTTTCATAAGTATGTAGGTATATCACAAATAAATTTCTCCAAAAATCATACCTTGAGATCGAACACCATTATCCTCAGGTATACTTGCAGCAACTTTATTGCAGTAATATAAAAATAGATACACAGAGAGTAGCTTTATCTTCAATGGCAGTAAGTTCCTGAGAATCCACATGTCATAAAAACACCGAAAATGTTTTGGCTTTCTTTTAATTCTATTTTGATGTATGCAAGGAGTATGGATGCGCCATGAATGTATGTATGTATATTTATAATTACGATTTAAGCCGGACGATAATTAGAAGCGCGTAGAGAAGTCAGAAAAACATCGACGCATCGAAAATATCGATGTTTTGCTTCGATGCATCGAAATTTTTCTACTCGATGTATATATAGTCGATTCATCGAGGCATCGAAGCAACGATGTTTTCTGTAAACTGACAGCTCAAGTTCATCGCACGCCCAAACATCGCTTTGTCCGAAATTCAAAGAAATCAAGATGCACTTTTGCACTATGTTGGGATGATTTGACGCAAATAAATAGAGTAAATGAATTCAACGAGCAATTATTAGTTTTTGAACATTTGTGATGTTTTAAGGGTAAACTTTCACGAGATTTTGTATTTAATTGCAATATTCCAATGTTGAAAATCCGCACAACAATCTTGTGAAGTTAATGGGTGCAGTCCCGTATTCGTCGGACTAAAGCTAGTTAAACTATCAAAAAATAAAAATTCGCTCAGAGCAAGAGAGTAACATCGGGATCGCTTTCTAGCAAAAAATTTTAACTTCTGTCAACTTCAACATAACCTCCAAATTTTGATTTTAAATTTTTGATTATTTTGTATGTAAACACACTCAGCTCACACATGAAAAAAAACAAAAAATACATTCAAATTCATTGTAATCCACAAGTAATTAAATACTTTTCAACATGAATTAGCAGAGTGGACTTATCTTTTGTTTACAATTTGGTTGCCAAACACACTACAGCTGACCGTTTGACACGTTTACCAGAATTTACCAGCAAAAAATCTTTGGACTAGCACTGGTACCTTCTGACAGAGAGAGGACCTTATTTACTCTCGTTTTTGTCCTCTCAGTAGTCAGAAAACCGAGTACGGGATCGATTTCCAGTAAAATCTGACTGATTCTGACTATTTCTGACTAGTCCGGACTCGTACGGGATCGCAGCTAATATAAATACGATGGAGGAAAACTGGTGCTGTCACTCTATTAAAAATAAAATGGAGGTAAGTTGCTGCTGGCACTCTATTAAACGAGTTTTTGTGCGTCCAACTTCTTTTTGCGTAGGCGGTCTTCGGCCGCGCTTAGGGATTATATCCCTCACTACGTAGAATTCTCCTTTCTGTGTTGCCAAAGAAAAGGGGCTGAACACCTTTCGCAGAGAACACTTTTCTTCGTAGGCGGCCTTCGGCCACGCTTAGGGATTATAACCCTCTCTACGTAGAATTCTCCTTTCTGCGTGCGAAGAAAAGGGACAGAAATCCCCTTTTCACAAAAGTATATTTCTTGTCATCGTGCCCGAAACAGCCTGGACTTTTTTCCGTGCAGAAATGTGCAAAAAATCAATTTGAAATTTGAACAGCTGTTGTTTGTTTACATCCGAAAACAAATTTTGTAAAATACAAAAAGGGAAAATAGCAGCAAGGTTTCAGAAATGGAAGTATTTGCTAGTTTTATTAGCCATATAAGATAAATACACATGAAATCATTGTTCAGAGCAGATTTATTGGTTCCGGGCACGAAATGAGGTTTTTTGAGTTCCTCACGCTCTGGTCACTTTTGGCACGGGTTGACACATTTTTGACACTTTTGAGAGAGTAACTTATTTTTAAGCCCTAAGGGTCAATTTCAAATGAATATTTAAACGGCACTTAAGTTTAATTGTAGATTGCTGTTTAAATTCCATTTAGCTTTCGTTGGGTTTCAGATCAACTTTATTTAAATATGCCAATCAATTGGCAGCACTGCTGCTTGCTCCTTGAAATTATTGTTGCAGTTGCTTGTTTGTTTACATTTTGTGCTGAACAGCTGATTGTTTTTTGGTGGGATTGATTAAACAACCTTCCAATCAATCTTGGTTGTTTGGTACAAATCCAGGGTTGAATATCTCTTATTTAAATAGACAATATTGGCCATTTAAGTTCAGATTAAATGTATGATCTTAAAATGAATAGTGAAGGTTAATCAACAATCTCTACTTAAGTAGGCCAACTGAAATTGGGCCTAATTTCCGAAACAGCCCGGAAAGAATATGGAACAAAGCTAATATTAAATGTTTCGATTGGAAACGTGTAATAAATCTGTTCAATTGTAAAAGAATGGATTATAATAACAATTGATAAAGAAAATGCTGCGGCTTACGGAATGCGCCACCTTTGTTCACTACATCGTGAGCAGAACTAACACATCTGACGCGTGCGGGAACAGACTAATATTGAATAAAAGGAACGTCCCAACACAGGGAGGTTAAGCGGAAGTTGAGGAATGACGAACAATATGTTAAGGGTAGTTAAGAAAATGTCTCCTCTGAAATGTTTTTCCTCACGGCTTTTGTGAAAATTATATTGAATAGATGCAGTAGAAAAAATATATAAAATGATTTTAATTACTGGTTATGAATGTGAAAAATATTGAAATAACGTAATATTTTATTTTAACAAATTGTGTAACGAGAAAGTGAAAAGTGTATGAAAATAATGAAAAGTTTGGGGTAACAGTTTGGTCGCTAGTTAAGAAGCTAAACATAAAGCCGAATCAAATACCTTACGCACTATTATACATAATTGCTTTTGGGAGAGATATCAATTTTACATAAGAAAATTATGAGACGCCAGCCGTCATTGCGAAAAAACACAATCGATAAAACACTGGGGCTAACTATCCACTAGTTGATGGATACGGAAAAACAGTTTATCTTTAATCAATGACAAATAGTTTCTAGGAGAGAAAACATGATTTTGCTCCCTACTATTTTAATGTTTAATATCATCCGTATGCCGGGGCCAGTAAGTTTTTATAACGTACATATTACATTAATATGCATTGACATTCATACATATATGAATATGTGTAAACACATGTTCATATACGTACATACATGTATACTACATACAGAAACATAATTATAAACAGATGTATGTATGCACATTAGAGGGTGCATTCCAAAACGTCAAAATCTTATTTCTAAACCGCACTAGAGGAAAGTCTTGACTTGCGCAACCAGGGAAAACTAGCATCTAACCGTGGTTGCGCGCATTTGGCATTACAATCTGCTGAGGTTTAGAAAAATAAGAGACTGACAGACCAACCCAATATTCACGCACGACGGCAATTTACTGTCAAAAATTTCTCATGCACATACATGATTCAATAATTAAAGGTTTGCTCATTAGTGACATTCGAGTTCGATTTTGTCAAGAGGGAGCGAGAAAACTGTTTTTTTAGCAAACCTTTTAGTTATTATTGAATCATGATGCACATACAACTTGTATGGGACCAACCGAAATTGACCGGCGTGCGTAAAACACTAAAGCTGATGCCACATAAAACGTTTGCTTCGCTTTACGTGACAGATTCGCTTTGACAGCTAAGATGAATTGTATGAAAATGCACAAAGCATGCCACATAGATCATTGAAGCTGCAGCGCGAAGCGAAAAGATGGCCAACTCCCATCTTTTTGCGCGCTTTGACAATCAGCCGGTTTAATATTTATTTTGTTTCGTCCAAATTCGGGTATTCATGCTGAAACATAAAACTCAATTACATTGCTGATAATTTTAAAGCAAAATATCTAAAATCCACAGCAATTTTGAAGAGTAAAAAATTGATTTCTTGGCGTTCATTGTGGCATACCTTTTGCGTCTGGCGCTTTGCTGGCAAAGTTATAAATGTCACGCAAAGCTACAAAGTTTTATCTGGCATCAGCTTAAGATTTTGTTTTGTTGCGTGACATTTCGACTTGACGATTGTGCTCGTTTGACATTTCGGCGCGACTACGAATTAAAATTTTGGAACAAATGCAGAATAGCTCCGATTCTCAAATAAAAAAGAAATAAATATTGGAGTCGGTAGGGATGATTGAGCTGAACATAACGGAATATTTTTTTGCGGAAACAACAACTACAAGTTATTAAGGGTCAAAGTTCTAATTAAACAATTCATTAAATCAAAATTTTTTGAAAACGAATGCATGGATTTTAAAATTTTTTAACTCATTTGATAGGAAATTTGATTCTCTTTAATTTTACGTAAATATAATCCTCCCTAAGTAGAATTCTCCTTTCTGTGTTGCCGCAAAGAGAAGCGGAATGGCTTTCTGCGTACATTAATTCGATTTTTGTGAAAACTAAACAAAAAAAACTTTAAAATCCATGCATTCGTTTTTAAGAAATTTTGATTTAAAAAATTGTTTAATTTGAACTTTGACCCTTAATAACTTTTGTAATTGTTGTTTACGCAAGAAAAGAAATATACCGTTATACTCGCAGACATAAATGTCTATTGTTTCTTTTGCAATAGCTAATTTCGAATCAGAATTCGAAGCTGGCAACGATATTTTCGAGTTAACTCGAATTCAGTGATAGCGTTTTTTTCGTATTAGTAGCAGGCATTCGGAGGAGATTACGGTAACCGTGTCGAAAAATTTTGACTATGCCATTGGAAAGCTGGGCTCTTCACCTTTTCAAATATACCCACTTTTAGGTTCCGGGGCCTTCTAGTTTTAAAGATATTGGCTCGTAGTCGCAGAGAAATTAGAAAAAGGTTTTAACGATTAAAATTCTGTTTTATTGTAATCACCATTTTATCTTTTTCATAGTCAACTTAAAATGCATTTTACGCAAGATAGATATTAAAGAAAATTCAAAAGACCTTTTGGCCAAATTTTCAAAATCTGGTTTCACGTCAGATAAAGCCGTTAGTAACAGTTCTGTTAAATGTTGGTTAGTCAATAGGTACGTTCGTTTAAAATCTCCAGCAAAAAATGTCCTACAGCAAAATTCCGGTGAAATGGCATCTGTTCTCTCACAAGAGAATTATATGGGGTTTTCACAGTAGACATCTACATTTTAAGAAGTTTTCTAACCGTAAAATCAGTGGTGTTGTTGCTTCCCATACAAAATCGGAAAACGACGCCGTCTACATTTTGTCACACTCAAAGGTATGTTATTTACGCGTCTACGTTTTGCGACCTACTGCATTATGGGAATACCAATCAAATTTTTTTAGCTTATTGGGGACGGTTTACGTCTTTGCATTTGATTTGAGCGCAATGGCTGATGACAACAAACAAATCAAGGAAAAGAAAGAACATATATTAGCAATTGGTAATTAAGCTAAACAATTAAAATTTGCAGAACCAAAATCGAAAGGCGACATAAAAAATGGGCGCAAAGAAGAAATGTCTGGCAACACCAGACCCGGCGGGCCCCTGCGTAAGCCCGCGGGTACGGGCCGAAATATTTGCTGTCAGAACGAACTCGTGCGTGCATGGGCGTTCAGTAAACTTTCATAAAGGCACGAGTAAGCACGAAAAAGCCCGTTGCTAATAATGCAAATTTAGATAAGCTGTTGTTTTTATAAAAAAAAATAGTACATATTAAACCTCTTTTGATAAGAGAAAAGCAAAAAAGAAATATTTGGAGACCGATAGAAAAAATAAGATACTTAGAAGTTTTGTTAACTTATCTGTACATAAAATACTTTCCACTTTTTTTACTTCCCAGAAAATATATTATACAAATCTTTCAAGTAAAATATTGATTCACTTAGGTTAATATACATACATAAACACAAAATTAAAAATATGTACACATGTATACATACAATAAAAGTTGGCTCTTTATTTCCGGGCTGGGACGTGTACCGTTGTGCCGGGCCGGGCCGGGCCGGGCCCCACTAAAATTCTTAACGTGCGGGCTCGTGCGTATTTTTGAAAGTTGATTTTGCACTCGTGCCGGGCCGTGTCACGGTGTTAGGGGTCGAACACCTCCTAAACGGAATGAAGGAAAATTAGGGCTATTAGAAAAAGGGGCGTGACACCTCCCACATAAACCGAAGTTTTCATACTGTATATCCCGGAAAACGTTCATGGAAGAGGACTCGAACATGGTATGGAGATATATGAAAGCAATCGCATACTCATGGAGAAACATTGTGGTTATCGGAAAAGGAGGCATATCAATATCAATCGAATTTTTCATACAGCATATCTCTGGAAGTGTTCGTGGTAGCGTACCGGAACTTGGTATGTACAAGGTATATAAAGTCAGTGGCATAGTCCTGAAGAAAAATTGGGGCTATTGGAAAAAGGGGCGTGGCACCTCCCATAAAACGGATTTTTTCTCACTGCATATTTCTGGAAGTGGTCGTGGTAGAGTACCGGAATTAGGATGTACAAGGTATATAAAGTCAGTCGCATAGTCATGAAGAAAAATTGTGGCTATTGGAACAAGGGGCGTGGCCACTCCCATACAAACCGAATCTTTCACACTGCCTATCTCCGGATGTGTTCATGGTATTGTACTTGAACATGGTATGGAGATATATGAAATCAGTTCCATACTCTTAGAGAAAATTGGGACAATTTGAAAAGGACCGCGTGACAGTAAATCTTGAACGCAAATATCAAGATAGTCGCGAAGCTATGGGCCAAATATATTTAAATTGCCTTCTTAACTTTTCATTCTGACGTCAGTGATTCAAAAATTATTTTAAAAATTTAGAGAAATGTGCTTAGAGAATAAGTAGGGTATCAAATTAAAGAGGAAATCCTTTAGAATTTAAACAGATTCAAGTTTTTGGTGCTGAAGGACTGGTAAGTTTGAAAGTGTCCTTTTAAAATTTTATCCTTGACTTTTCGCAATATTTGTTTTTGAAAAAATTATGTGTTAAGGGCTTATATAAACTCGATAACATCCTCGAATTTCGTCCTTCTAACTTTGCCAGCTTAAAAAATTACCTATTCGTCCATGTGAACCCACAAAATTTATTTTATTTTTTATCTAAAGGAATTTCCTCTTGCATTTGGTACCCATACTTTATTCTGCATTGCATTGAATTTTTTAAATAATTTGTGGAATTAATTAAATCTTTGACACTACAAAGTCCTTTACAATAAATCCTAATACCAGAGAGAAAAACCAAACCCATTTATTTATTATTTATTTATTGGTAGGAGGGCTTCTCAAACAATATAGAAACAATTTTTTCGATTTAAGTTGTTGAAAATTAATGAATATCGAAATCCCGGGATCCCGGGATTGTGATAACGACTTCCGGAAAATACCGGTATCGGAAAAAGCTGAAAAATTAACATCGCTAGCTCATACAAGCTCTTGGCTCAATCCTTATCCATTCGTCCTGAAATATACTAGCCGGAAATGCGATTGCTTTATAAAAAAAGAATCATTTTGAAATATGAGTGTTTTTACTCTCTAGAAAATTATTTATGCAACGTCACATACGCGGTTTTGGACTGTCTTGATACGTGGTTTTGCATTTTGTTGATACGCGGTTTTGTACTTTAAACAACGATAAATACTTATATATGAATATGAATATATGTATGAAATATATGTATGCACTTTTAATTGTTATCACCAGGTTACAGCTCGCTTCTGTGAAGGAGGCCATTATTGTTCGTTACCAAGGGAATGTTGTACTCAAGGATGTTGTCCACCATACCAAAGTGGGCCACGACAACTACCACCGCCGTCCGAACACGTATTGAATTTATTTTTCATCAGCCACTGGTTTTTTTGGTAAGATAATATTAAATAAATAATAATAATAAGTTAATAAAATTTAATTTTTAAAGTTAATTAAATAATAATTAATAAATATTAAGACAACATGTTACCATAACAACGGTCAGGGATTTAAGATGTTTTAAAGATCGAAACGCTTTTGTATACAATTTCAAGAGCTGTTAAATTTATCATAATTAAACAACTGATTTTTATGTAAAAAAAAAAAACCTATACAAACAAACACAGAAAATGTATAAATTTGTAACAGATTTTGCTTATAGTTATACATACCTTTAGGCTTATTTTTTTGCATAAACATCCGCAGTCTGCTAATCATTGTTATTAAATTAGTGTGCCCTCCTAATTTTGTATTTATTAATCAATTAAAAACAAATGCAGAATAACTGAAATACTCAAATTTAAAAACAAAAAATGAGGATCGATAGCGATCATTGAGCTGAACATAACGGCTTTTGGGGGAAACAACAACTACAAGAACTATGAAAGGTCAAAGTTCAAACTAAGCAATTTTTTACATCAAAACTATTAGTTATATGCAAATGGTCTAAAATTAAATAGGAAATGTATCAAGCTTGCATTTGATATAAAATATGCAGTCAATAGTCCTCACTTTAAAAAATATTAAAAAAAAAAAACAGCCCTGGTCCGTCCAACACCGGCTATGCTATCCACAGTATTTTCACGCATAACTTCTTTCTGTCTGTGTAGGCGGCCTTTGGTCACGCTTAAGAATTATAACCCGTACCAAGTAGAATTCTCCTTTGTGTGTCGCCGAAGAAGAGGAGCTGCACACCTTTTCCAGAAAACACCTTTCTGCGTAGGCGGCATTCGGTCACGCTTAGGGATTATAACACTTACTAAGTTGAATTCTTCTTTCTGTGTAAAGTAAGGACTATTGACTGCATACTGTATATCAAATGAAAGCTTGTTAATATTCCATATACTTCCAGAAACATTTGTTTTAATATATTTTTTACATAAATTCGATTTTTGTGAAAACTACATATACAAGGCGTATACAACATATCTGTGTTCGTATGGAATAGTAGCTTATGTCGGCAAGCTGGCTTTAGTATAATGCGGCATTCCCTTTATTCTTTAAACGACAAGGAATCTTTGGACGAGACTGTTTTGCTAGTATCGGAACTATTTCTTGCACATTTATTTGCCAAAAGTTCTTCAACGGCTCGGCGCCAGTGAGTCATTCGCAATTGTATGCTGCGAATGCCGCACTATACTAAAGCCAGCCTTTGGACATAAGCTACTATTCCATACGAACACAGATATGTACATCAAATTAAATTCTCTATCGAATGGCATAACCGTTTTCAATATCCATTAAAGGATTTTTGAAAAATATGGATTTGAAAAAAATTCATAATTAAAACTTTAACCGTTACTAACTCTTGTAGTTGTTGTTTGTCCCCAAGAAATACATACCTCTAGGCTCACCTCAATGATCTCCATCAATCCTCGTATACATATTTTTGATTTGAGAATTGTAGTTATTCTGCATTTATGCCACAGTATATACAGAAATAAACCATTTCGCAGATTTTCACCAATTGGTCCCCGGGTACTTTTGGGTTGTGTACAGCGTTTTCGTTTTTCGCGTACGGCAACACTTACTATGGGGAATTTCGCCTCATGATCAGGGTGTCCAGATTGTTTAAAAAAAAAAGCGCAATTTCTGAAAAAAATCGCCAAAAATCGCCAATTTTTTCTAAATAAAATTCATGAAATCGATTTAACAAATATTTTATTTTAAAGATGAAATCTTGTTATAATATAGTTTTTAAAACCAAAAACGAATATAATAGCTTCAGAAGGTAATAATAAATAACACAAATCACTTATGTAATAGTGATGTACAAACAATTTTCTAAAAAATACGCATATTTTTTTTAAATATTTGTTTCAATACATTTTGCAATAGGACTGCGCAATTATTGAATTTATTATAACTCATATTAATTGATTAATCGCAAAATCCGCTTTTAAGCGCTCGGCGCTAAAAATAAAATAGAAACCTATAATAAGGCGAGATCAGCTATTTCCACAATTTCTTCAAAATCCTAACCTATAGTGTCTGAATCATTTACATTTCTGTTGTTGTCATATATTGAGCTATTCAATCTCGATAGCATACTGTTTGAACGTTTTGCAGCAGAAACTAGTAGTCTTCATATAACACTTTATTCGAATTATTGAATTAAGGCTTTCCAACCTCATCCTATTTCAAATCTTAGTTTTTGTTGAATTCATTACGGAAAAAACGCGCTCAACAAAAGCATGTGAGTGCGGCAAGGATAATAATAGGTGCAATCCCGTATTCCTCGGACTCGGACTAGTAAAAGTGTCAAAAAATAAAAATTCACTCAGAGCGAGAGAGTAACATTGAAAAGTACGAGATCGCTTTATAGTAAAAAATGGTAACTTCTGTCAACTTTAACATAACCTCCAAATTTCGGTTGTAAATTTTTGCTTATTTTGTATGTAAACACACTCAGCTCACACATGTAAATAACTAAAAACACTTTCAAATTCATTAGAACCCACTTAAACAAGTAATTAAATAGTTTCCAACATGAATTAGCAGAGTACACTTTTCTTTTTTACCAGAATTTACCAGCAAAAAATTCTCGGACCAAAACTGGTAACTTCTGACAGAGAGAGAACCGCAATTACTCTCTTTTTTGTCCTCTCAGTAGTCAGAGAACCGAGTACGGGATCGATTTCCAGTAAAATCTGACTGATTCTGACTATTTCTGACTAGTCCGGACTCGTACGGGATCGCAACTAATATGAAGGCTACTTTACTTATATTTACAGACATTTTATGGGCTGTTGTGGTTTTCATTCCGTAAGCAATTATTNCGGCAACACTTACTATGGGGAATTTCGCCTCATGATCAGGGTGTCCAGATTGTTTAAAAAAAAAAGCGCAATTTCTGAAAAAAATCGCCAAAAATCGCCAATTTTTTCTAAATAAAATTCATGAAATCGATTTAACAAATATTTTATTTTAAAGATGAAATCTTGTTATAATATAGTTTTTAAAACCAAAAACGAATATAATAGCTTCAGAAGGTAATAATAAATAACACAAATCACTTATGTAATAGTGATGTACAAACAATTTTCTAAAAAATACGCATATTTTTTTTAAATATTTGTTTCAATACATTTTGCAATAGGACTGCGCAATTATTGAATTTATTATAACTCATATTAATTGATTAATCGCAAAATCCGCTTTTAAGCGCTCGGCGCTAAAAATAAAATAGAAACCTATAATAAGGCGAGATCAGCTATTTCCACAATTTCTTCAAAATCCTAACCTATAGTGTCTGAATCATTTACATTTCTGTTGTTGTCATATATTGAGCTATTCAATCTCGATAGCATACTGTTTGAACGTTTTGCAGCAGAAACTAGTAGTCTTCATATAACACTTTATTCGAATTATTGAATTAAGGCTTTCCAACCTCATCCTATTTCAAATCTTAGTTTTTGTTGAATTCATTACGGAAAAAACGCGCTCAACAAAAGCATGTGAGTGCGGCAAGGATAATAATAGGTGCAATCCCGTATTCCTCGGACTCGGACTAGTAAAAGTGTCAAAAAATAAAAATTCACTCAGAGCGAGAGAGTAACATTGAAAAGTACGAGATCGCTTTATAGTAAAAAATGGTAACTTCTGTCAACTTTAACATAACCTCCAAATTTCGGTTGTAAATTTTTGCTTATTTTGTATGTAAACACACTCAGCTCACACATGTAAATAACTAAAAACACTTTCAAATTCATTAGAACCCACTTAAACAAGTAATTAAATAGTTTCCAACATGAATTAGCAGAGTACACTTTTCTTTTTTACCAGAATTTACCAGCAAAAAATTCTCGGACCAAAACTGGTAACTTCTGACAGAGAGAGAACCGCAATTACTCTCTTTTTTGTCCTCTCAGTAGTCAGAGAACCGAGTACGGGATCGATTTCCAGTAAAATCTGACTGATTCTGACTATTTCTGACTAGTCCGGACTCGTACGGGATCGCAACTAATATGAAGGCTACTTTACTTATATTTACAGACATTTTATGGGCTGTTGTGGTTTTCATTCCGTAAGCAATTATTCAAAATTCTTCAGGGTCGGATGGAATGGTTCTGAAAAAAGTTATTCCATGGGAAAGTTAAAAGATTAAAATATTCAGTTTATGCTGCTTTTCTCTCCTTCAAAGTCAAATTGTGAATTGGCAGGTCCCTGAAACTCGCCCTCTTGTGATTCACACACTTTTCTGGTGACAAAATCAAAGCTTTTTTAAAAGTATTTAATTGACTAGGTAATCGTTTCAAAATCGTTTCTTGGATAAGGGTGATTAAAAATTTTTGACAGTCTTTTAATATGCGTCTTAAGTGAAGGTTGTCACGCAGTTCATTAGCCGCTTCTGTAAAGTTATCGTGGAAAACTAAGTTTTGAATATTTTTATAAATGGAAACAATTTATTTGAAGGAAAAAAATTGCCAAAAATCGCCAATGGCGATTTCCTAAATTTTTACGCGCAAATATCCAAGAAAAATCGCCAAATTGGCGCGAAATCGCCAAATCTGGACACTCTGCTCATGATTAGGAAAAGTTCTTTTCGAGGATAAAATATGTATAATTTACAAGAACAAAAATGTGTATGCATATTAAACCAAACCTATATATCCCTATGTCATTCGACATGCTGAATGCGAATCCGAGGTCCGTTAGCCTCCATCACGTCAGGTTCGTGGTCATTTGAAGGTCAAGTAGGGAAAAATTCATTGAATAAACCTGAAAATTCAATAAAATTCATCGGGCATGACCTCTAGATGACCTTGAGGAATCAAGAGACCTTCATACTCGGTTTCAGTGACAACAAAAACAATTTTTTTTTTAATTTTTATTGAATACATTTTATGTCCTATTTGACCTTCAAATGACCTCGAAGCTGACATTATGGAGGTAAACGGACCTCGGATTCGGGTTCAGCGAATCTAAAACCTTATGTATATGAATTTTCAGGTTTATTCAATGAATTTTTCCCTACTTGACCTTCAACTGACCACGAACCTGACGTGGTGGAGACTAACGGACTTCGGATTCGCATTCAGCGTGTCGAATAACATACGGATATATAGGTTTGGTTTGTTTGTTTTTTTTGTAAACCTGTGTAATTTTTCCAATACTCTGTTTTAGTTTACACGCTAAAAAATAACAACATTTTAATAACATGCATGCTATTGATTAATAGGTGCGTGGTAGTTGCGGTCATTTTAGCAATTCTTTGTGCGTATTCCTTATGGAAAAAACGTCGTACACTTTGTGGCTGGGGATTCACGGAGCATCATACTCAATCCGAGGGTGACTCGGCGGGTTCCTGCTATGCACCCCCACAATATAGTCGTTGTAATTCGTTCCATCATCCGCCGCCTCCGTACACCGAGGTAACACTTGTAATATTTTCTACATATATAAATTTATTTTTTTTATAAACTTACGATTTAAGGTCACATCAAAGCCAGATCTCTATCCACTCGTCTTCACGTGCAACAGTGACAACGTTAAAACCGGTTCCAGTTACCTAATGGTACAATATTTTCGCAACTATATCGTTCGTCCTGTTGGGTCGCTTTCTGCAGCAAGCACAGTCGATTCGCTTAGTTCCAGCTTCATTTGTAATATCAATGAAGCTAACACGCTTGTGCCGCCACCATATTCTCGGGCAGCCAGTCCGGAAGCAGAGTTAAGTTCGCATTTGCAGCAACAGTTTATGATTCCTAGATCAGCATCACAATTAATGTACGCAAGTGGAGGTAATAGACACTCCAACAACCTTGAAGCTCACGAAATAAGTAGTGGTGTTATTGCTCAGAAACTACATCAAGATCACCATAGTAAAGTAACAAACTTTACTGTAGTGGCACTCAATGGGTCAGCAGTTGGAAATCAGAATGACATTGAACTGGGAAAGCTTACAAACTATAATACGGTCTTACAAACATCGGTTGGTGAATATTTTAATTCCAATGAAGTTTCTGATGACAACAGTCAGAATCGAAAACTTAATCAAAATTATAATCGTGATAGCAATGAAAGTAGTGGAAGCAACCGCAGCAGTGGATGTGCTAGCAATTTTAGCTCTGGTTGTATTCCAAAAGGTTTTATACAGTCCCAAAGCGATCAACAATTTCATTTTATTAATAATAGCAATAGCAGTATCAGTGATATTTTTCTAAATAACTGCTCCATAGCCGCATTCGCAAATACTCCTAACGAAAACGGTTGTAATTTAATAGGTATAAAGAATTCTGAAGAGAACGGAAAATTCAGCCCATCGGAGTCGGCTGATCCCGCTACAACGCTTCCTATGCACACTCAATTTAACAATCATGCTGCGTCAGCAATTTTTAGTAATAGCCACATTAAATCTAAATCCTTGCACCGCACTGCTACGAGTCCCACGCCACTTGTATTCGACTCAAGTATTCTAAATCCGACTTACAAATCATGTGATTCCGTTGCTGATATTCTCTTTACCGCTCCTGCAAATACAGATAACTTATCAGATTCAGAAGTGAAAGATCTACATTTGTTGCGGCAAAGTCTGGAAACATGTTGTAATGTCTTACAACAGCAACATCAGTTGAAGCAAAGACCACATGCTGAGATAAATAAAACAGAGTCTTCGTCATCCAGACTAAATGAGTTGATTGAAAGGTATGCAGCGGACGACTTGGGTATGAGTAACTATACGGGATCCGTTAATTGTTCTGCTGTGAGTAGTTTGGTAAATATTTGCTTACCCAGTTCTCCACCACAAGCCACAAGCCCAACTGGGGAAGTAAGGGAGATTCTCGATCAAATACGTCAGTTACAGGACAGTATAAGTCATGAAGATGTGTTGCTGCATATGAAACCTGCACTACGTCAGACCTTATCTTCCCCAAAGAGCATTTCCGTAGTCATAGGGAAGGATTCGAGTGCAAATACTCAGCCAAAAAAAATCTGCGGTTCCGTTACGTGCTGTGAAATTCAGCCTAGCCCAACTGTCAAGTCGCCAACTAATCCAACATTTTCTAAGACCACTGTTCGTTTGACATCTCCTTCTTCAGATAAGAGCATAGTTAAGGTAATAACAACAACAGCGCAAGATAGTTTAAGTACGAATGATACTGATAATTTATTGAAACGACCTGTGACATTGCAACACAAAAGAAAACTCTTTACCCCAAAACCAAATAAGGCTCTTTACATTCCCATGACGCCAAATATTACATCGACACCTGCTAACAAATATATATTGAAAAGTCCTCTTAGCAGTGCAGTGGGGACAAATTTTTTCTCTAGCAGAGGAGGTCGAGTGCGAAAAATTTGGGTATCACGTTCAGCACCTACAACACCAGGCACCACTTTACCGCCTAATCGATTAGGCGATGATAGCCCGTTACTTACAGAATACGATGAAGATGGAGATATTGTTCAAGGAGAATAGTGAGTTTAAGAGATTAGGTAAATGTTAAACCTATGTTTTTAAAAGTTATGAGTGCCCTAAGTACAAAGTTGTAAGTCGCAATTTTTTTCTCTCGCTATTATCACCGAAACGATACCGCACACGATCTTCTATTGTGTATTAATTCAAACAACACAACAGAAAACAAACTATGTATTTATGACCTTATGTTAACCATTTACATATGTATGTATGTATAGAATAGATATTATGATCTGTGATCATTTTAGTGCATAAAATCAAAACTGAGTTAATAACATTTGAATAAGAACAGATGCTTTTTCATATAAAGAAAAAACAATCTCGATCTCGATGTCACCCGTCAGAAATATTCTAATAAATAACCAAAAAACTACTTGAAATACAAAGTTTTAGTTTTACAAGTAACAGTAATCGACATTATTATTTCTTAAATCAATTAATGTTTGTCAGATAGTTTGTTCGACTTTGGCAGGTTCTTCATGGTGGCTTTAAAAAAAAACTCTTTCTACCGATACGGATGAAGGCGGTTGTGTATTATATTTTTGGACTATTGCTTTGATTTCTAATATCCCATTTAGAACTAAAGCTTAACTGCAGTTAATAGCTCAGTTTGTTGTTGTTGTTGTTGTAGTAGCGGCTACAAACACCCCGCCCCGATCCGCTGGTCCCTCAATCGTTGTCGCTTTACTAACAGGAGACCTATGAAGCGTGCGGCCTCGATACGGTCTGTCCATAAGAACAAAGGCGTTAGTAGAGTGGAGTTAAGTGGGCATACGAAGAGATGTCTCGAGTCATGGGGTGTCCCTCCGCATGCCGGGCATCCGTTTGGCACATCTGCATTTACTCTGCTCAGGTATGAGCTTAACCTGCTACAGTAGCCAGATCGAAGTTAGGCCATTAAGCTGCGAGTCTCCCGAGGAAGACGAGGCTCTGTCTCGTTCACGTCTGGTGGTTGTGTGCCCAGAACGGCAATTACACGTCGGCCTGTGAATGCCGTTCAAGGCCTGCCGGGACCAGAGTTTTTTTTTATATAAATATATAGATTCCTTGTGACGTGCTGTGGCGAGGGTTCTTCCGCAAGCAAATGTCTGTTCGGGTGACCACGTCGGTGACACCCTACTAAGAATTCATTGCAGAGCCCTGTCGTGCAGTTAATGTTGCGGCGACATCAGAGGGCATCCTGTCGCTGTCTTGAGTGCCGTGTTTTGGCAGATCTGTAGCTTCATCCACTGCGTCCTACTAGTCCCCGGCGACCACACAGGCGCTGCATAGTTCAGAACCGGCCGGCCAATTTCCTTGTACATTGCAAACAACGTTTCTTTGCCTTTGTCTGCCGGAAAGCGACTTGAGGACGTTGTTGCGGTTTTGCACTTTATTGACAATTGTAGTTGTATGCGACGAGAAGGAGAGCAGACTGTCGAAGGTTACTCCGAGGATTTTCGGTTTATTCACCGTCGGGTTTTGTTCGTCATCGGCGTGAATACCCAGTTGCAGTCTGACGTCCTTCGTCCAAGTGGTGAAAAGTGTTGCTGAGGATTTTAATAGGGGAGAGGGGCGAGCTCCGTTCAGTAAGGACGCGAGAAAGCTCGGCGAGATAATTGTTCACTTTCGAGCACAAGTCATCAATTCCATTTCCAGACGCCATTATCGAGCTATCGTCAGCATGGTGGTTGAGGGAGCTTACAACTGTAAACGTTAAACAGTAGTGGGGAAAGTACACCACTCTGTGGGACCCCCTGTTTTATTTTCCTGGGTTTGCTCGATTTGTCTCTAAAAATTACTGACGTGTGTCGAGCACTCAGATAATTCGCCGACCACCGTTTGGGTCCCTGTAAGAGAGAAGAGGCCGCTATGTCTTCAGTACCGTGGAGTGACTGACGGTGTCAAACGCCTTGGACAGGTCCAACGCTACTTGAATTGTTCTCTCACAGGGGCGGCCACAAGTTATCTGGGTGTGTTTGGCGCTAAGTGCTGTTGTTGTGCACTTTACGGAACTCATGTTGATGCTTCGCTGTGGTCAGGTGGTTTGTGTAGTACGGGAGCAGAAGGTCCTCTTGTGTCTTCGCTACCGGGGAAGGAACATTCGGACATTAAGACTCTCCTTTGATGGACAGTTTCCCCGGTTTAAGCAGTGGGACCAATCTGTCCAATTGGGACCAATTTGTCACGTAACGACACTCTCTTTAATTGCTCATATTTAAGGACCATGCGGTTCGATTGTTTTCATTTTTCGGTTAATAAGAATAAAAATATTGAAAACACATGTTTTTCCTTGTTTGTGCCGCATTGAAACGTACGTAGAGTAAAAGCATAGTCAAATAACACAATATTCCGATTACGAAGGGGAAAAACACTGAAAGATAGCTACTCGGACCTGTTTACTCATATGTATATATACCTATGTGCGAAATAATAGCAGTGCGACATTTTGATCAGTTTTGAATATTCTTCTTTACATTGCATACTTTTTATTAATTTTATATAATGACGCTTATTTTAATTTTTAAGTGATTTTAATTTTCGCTTTCCGAATCTAAGAGTAATATATGATTGTTTGTTATTTACTGGTCTATAATTTATGATTGTGCCCAAAACTGAATAAATCGAGCCAAGAGTGCCCTTGTGAATGAAAGTTCCAAAAATGGCACTATTGTGCCTACTTTTCCATCACTGCTGACAACCCTGATTCGAATCGCAGCTGGCGTAATTTTTTATTTTTACCACAGCGAACAGTTCATTCCATGATACAAAAAAGAAGGTAGTTCCATTGTCACTTTTTCGTCGCCATATTAACAATCTGACAATTAAGTAGATTGTGACATTTCGTGCTACCGTATCCGATATCTAAAATCCTTCAAATTTTGTTTTGTTTTGTTTTTTGTTTTGTTTTGTTGTTGAAATTTGAACAAGCCAAAGGTACATATTTTGTTGGGTAAGGCTCGGTTATTTGTACAAAAACCAAAACCATTGCACAAACAAGCAAATATTACCCCCTTTTGTTTTTGAAAGAGGTCTAATGCTCAATAAGTTGATAATTGTGTTTCTAGTTTTCATACTAACAATAAATCATCAATTTTGTTTCACACTCCCTCTAATATTGAACAGTAAAATATACTTATTTGTACCCTAAGAAACAACGATATTGTCGAAACATACTAGAATTGGATAATACTCACTTCTCTGAAAGTCATGAGGCCTATGGATCCCAAAGTAAATTCCCTTTTCCAGTTACTTGAAAGACATGGACAAAGACAATATCGAAATGTGTAATAGTCCTGGCTAGCTACATTGTGTAATAATCAGATGCCATAATGGCACTAAAAAAAAATTAAAATATGTTCACTAAAATTTATTTATGTAAAAATAAAGATTTTGGCAAGTAGTTATCGAATTTAATGTAAAATTTTAACGTTTTTAAGATAAGATATTAATTATTTTTGAAAGGTGAATGTTGATACAACTATTTTATTTATACTCCCGAAGTTAGGATATAAAATACCCTCCACCAAAAAACTTAAATTGGGTAACGCCGCTTCGATTTTTTTACAATTGAGCAATTGTTAAAAATCTCCTTTTTAATCAAAAAGTTGTTTATTGAAACTACCTTCTTTTTTGTGTCATAGTTAATTCCATATAGAGATTAAAAGTGGTATTAGTCGCGTGTTCCCTTGCGATCCGGGAGTCCTCCCGGATTAGTCGCTTTTTTGTAGGATATTAAATCACAGCGAAATGCATTTATTGATTTAAATAGTTACACATTCCAGTAGTTCGTTTCTGTAACAATTCTCTACCAAGGCGAATTGAGATTTAATTTCGCCGTCCTGTTCTCTACTGCTAATGAAGAGCAGAGAATGACGTATATTCTCTACCAGTAGAGAAATAGTCGGTAGAAACGACCTACAGGTATACAAGTTCATAAAAAATAAATAAGATTTCAAATGCTTTATATTTAGTCTAAAAACTGTATCTAATGCTTGGTTTTCATTATATCAAAATTACTGACATCAAAAACTGTCTCAACTAATAACTGTTCATTTTGTGTCAAATGTCAAAGACTGTCATCAAATTTTGGTGTCAGGTGATTGACATTCCCGTTTTCATTACTGATGTCAAATGTGAAGTGAAATTTTTGGCATGAGTCAAGAATACCAGCCGTTTTGCTATGGAAAAAACCAAAAATGTGGCTCGATAGAACTCTTAATGCCCTATGATTTTGTTGATTGTTCAAGTACTTAAAAATCTCGCTTTAAAAATCAAAATAATACGTTGTTATTAAATGTAAGTCTTTATTATTCGTTGTATAAGTATAAACACACGTATAAATGTTTGTATAAGTACAAATGTAACGTGTAGTATGTATAAATTTCTTTAGTTTTTGTAAAGAAAGAAATATAAGTAAATAAAAGCTCATTATACTTTCATTATAATTGATACTAAAAAATACATGATAGATTTGATGAATTTTTGGATTTTTTCAGATTTTTTCGAGATATTTATTTGAGAAAAAATATTTCTTATTTGTATTTATTTATGGTTGTGATGCTAAGAAGAGCGATACGGGTAATTAATCACATTAATATAAGTTCAATTGAATCTCTTTTTCGATTTGAGTTATCATTCTTACAAACAAACTTTTAAATGTTCAGTAAAAAAATTTTGTAAATTCGAAAAAAATCTAATTAAATCGAATTTGTAACAACAAATTTCGAACCGAATAATCGAATGGTTGGACAATATTGAATATTAGGAAAAAATCGAATTTCAACCCCCAAATACCCATCCATATAAGCTGCGGACAAAAATAGTAAACTTTGTCCAATTTCGATAAAATTTTGTATATTTTCAACGGAGGACCCCTTCTAATTCCCAAATACAATAAATTTGTCGAAAACAAAGGAAATTTTTTTCAAGTTTAGAATATTTCAAAGCATAGTTTCACACAGATGAAATTTATTGAAGTGAAACTTCTTAGGCGGCAGTATCATAGAAATGGAGTGAAAATAGGTAAGAAGCTTACGAGGTAAGCCATGTTTTCTTTTAGTTTTTAGTACCAAAATAGTCATCACGACCAATATCATCTTCCCAATAAATAAAATTATATTCCGTCAGTTTTCGTCACTCGAATATTTTACCTCAAAGAGGTGTTTTATTTGATATCAATTAATTTTGGATAGCAAATTTCGTATTTAATTTACCAACGAAATCAACGAAAAATCCAAACAAAAGTCTAAACGTTCTAAAGAATAAGTATACAATAGTACCAGAACCGACCAGACGGTCAGAATAAGTAAACAAAAAAGTTTATTCCAAACGTTCACAACGAATAAAGGAATGCAGCCTAAATGTTTCGAATACAAAACATTTAAGTACATAAATATATGTAGGTACCTTGTACATTTTAAAACAAGCAAGAAATAAATAAATGCAGGTATAGTCTTACATACATGTTAAGCACCAATAAGTTTAATTTCTTAAAAGTACATTTAAATCAATTAATTACACATTTGAATCTTTAACAGCTGACCAAATATAGTGCGGGTTATTAACCGACTTCCAAAAAAGGAGGAGGTTATCAGTTTGTCGGAATATTATTATTTTTTTTTTTTTTTATGTATGTTACCGCATAACTTTGGACCACGTCAACTGATTTCGATAATTCTTTATGCATCGGAAAGGTAGTGTCTCAGAGGTGGTGCCATACTTATCTGGTTAAGATCCGATCAGCGGATCATGAGATATATATATATATATATTTTTTTTATATGAGAGTTGCAGTCGGCTTTTTTTTGCTAAAAATTACTTGTTTTTGTTTACAAGTTCCTTGCATAACATTATGTTATTGATACTGTCAATCTCAAGTTTATTTCTTTGTTTAGTTTTTACCAAAAAAGCGTTGAAAATTTGGGTTCTGCAGCCGCAGAGCTATGTGGTAATGAAATTATATTAAAAACAAAATTGGCGAGGTGCATGAAGCTATTTTCATTAATTCCATTTTTAATAGAATAAACTTTTTCTCATAACATATCAATATCCAGATCGCTGGAAATATCAAGCTCACTTATACTAGGTAGATTATGCTCATTTTCAAGCTCATTTTCAAGCATAACTCCCTAATCTGTAATTAGAAAAAGAGATTAGTCACACGAAATTCGTTCCTTGTTAATCTGTAATTAAACGACTTCCAAAAAAGGATGAGGTTATCAGTTCGTCGGAATAATTTTTTTTTTTTTTTTTTTATGTATGTTACCGCATACCTTTAGACCACGTCAACCGATTTCGATAATTCTTTTTGCATCGGAAAGGTAGTGTCTCAGAGGTGGTCCCATACTAATCTGGTTAAGATCCGATCAGCGGATCATGAGATATATATATATATATATATATATATATATATATTTTTATGAGAGTTGAAGTCGGTTTTATTTTTTGCTAAAAATTACTTGTTATAAAATAATCTCAGATTTAACGGACAACTTTTCAGTGTCCAACCTGCTTTTATCGATTATTTTTGCGAAGAGGAGAAATGCCAAATGTAAAAGTAAAGAGGTTTGTAAAGGTATTTTTAATAAAATATCAAGTTAAAACGTATTTAAATTGCTTTATATAGCAGAAATAAAATTATAGTTTAAAAAACTAAAACCTAACTA